CCGTGGAAACCCTCTTCCAGAGGCAAAGCAGGGGCCCACACTCAGGCTTCCAGGGCAGGGGGTGGACAGAGACCGCTAAGCCACTAAGATCCCCATTTAATGGCTCCCTTCTAACTCCTGCTAGCTTTGAAGGGGACAAATATCTTATCCTTGTCCTCCAGGCCAGGCTGGGCAGAGGAGGGACAACACAGAGGGTCAGGGGAATAGGAGCTGTCTAGTCAGCTTTGGAGGTTGGCAGCATGTACCCTGGGATTTAGCTCAACGCTGGAGGATGCTGGGAGGATGAGGTTTACCCCCCTTCCTGCCTTAGGCTACTCATGACCATGGCAAAGAGTCAGTGGGGAGAAAGCCCAAGTTTCCATTTGGTTGTGCATATTCCCTGCACAGTAAAACAGGGCAGCCTGTTCACTGGTTCTGCATCAGATTTCCTGATTCCACCACTTACAGATGAGCAAACTTTGGGCAAGTCAGTTGCCCCTTAGAGCCTTTGTTTTCTTGTCTATATAGTGGGGGGAAAAACCCAGTTGCTGTCAAGTTGATTCTGACTTATGGTGACCCCATGGTGACCCCAGAGTAGAACTGTGCTTCATAGGGTTTTCAATGGCTGGTTTTTTGGAAGCAGATCACCAGGCCTTTCTTCCAAGGCACTTGTATGTGGACTCAAACTTTTCAGTTAGCAGTTGAGTGCGTTAACTGTTTGTACCATCCAGGGACCTAGATAGTGGAGGTTACGATAAGCAGCTCCTGTCTCATAGGATTGTTACGAAAATTAAACAGATGACAGAGATAAGGTAGTCAGAACGGTGCTTGGCACTTACTAAACACTTGAAAATATTAGCTTTTATTATTATCATATTTACACAGAGAAAGGATTTGGAACAAGATTTAAAGAAATGGAGTTTCTTCGTATTGTTGGTAACTTCCTTACAAACTGGCTGTTCTCAGAGCTAGTTTGACGCTGTCTTAGGTCCCCTCCCATTGGGTGGTTGGTTCCTTACCAAGAGCTGCCTCAGACCACTGAAGCAAGCAGGGTGGTGTCCATGACCTTAACCATGGAACCAGCACCAACTGCAACTGACAACTCCAACTCACCGACACCCTGTGTGTGTCAGAGTAGAACTGTCCTCCATAGGGTATTCAGTGGCTGATTTTTCGGAAGCAGATCGCAAGGCCTTCCTTCCAAGGCATCTCTGGGTGGACTTGAACCTCCAATCTTTCGGTTAGCAGCCGAGCACATTAACTGTTGCACCGCTCAGGGACTCCTGTCCATGGAGCTCACCCCCAACTAGAACAGAGGGCAGCTGGGCAGTGCCATGAAGCAGAACGCCATAGAAGGAAGTGTAGGCTGGACACTGGACCAAGCTTCAAACTTATCTAGTCTCTAAGGGATCAGGAATGCATCATAAGGTGGGGGTTGGGGGGAAAACATCCTACCCTGGACAGGGGAACTAAAGGGACTGATGTTTTATCTGGGTGGGCTACCCTAGGGTGGAGTTTGAAAGGGAGGAGAGGTGTGAATAAGAGGAGAAGTATGCCACCCCTGCCCTCCTCATGCTCCTTACCCAGTGCCCCATCCTGCCTTGCAGATGCCCCACGGGGCGTGGAGATCCTCCTCAGACCCTCAGGACAGAACATCCTCCTTGGTGACCTGGTCACACTCACCTGCCGGGTGAATAGCAGCTACCCAGAGATTGGGTCCATGCAGTGGGTCAAGGATGGAGTGCCCCTCGAAGCCAGGGGCCGTGTGCTCCGGTTGCCCCAAGCAACATGGGCCGATGCTGGCGTCTACATCTGCCAAGCTGAAAATGCCGTGGGTTCTGCCGCCTCGACCCCTGTCAGCCTCCATATCTTCAGTGAGTCCTGGGTGAGACTGGGTCTTGGCCAGAAAGCAGGGAGGGGTCCAGGCTGCTGGGGCTGAGAGGAGCCAGGCCAGGACAGAGCCAGAGGCTGGCAGCGCTCAGGGCCTTGTGGGGTGCAGGCGTGCAGACAGGAGCGGAGCACAGTCCACACCCTCCCCCAGCGAGCCAGGGCCCAGTGGGGAAAAAAGAGGCCCGCAGCTCTGCAGGCAGAAGGCCATGGGGTTTAGTGCCAGCCCCACCTTACTGTGAGACAGATGACAGAATTTCCCTGGGAGGGCAGGATGTTGGGAGGATCCTGGGGAACAGGACAAAGGTGTAAGGCAAACTAGGGGCTTCACTACAGAGGGGTGTGGTGTAGACTGTGCAGTTTCAGGTTGATGGGCTGCGGCCCCGGGGGCTCTGAGGGGTTGGAGCTGGAAGTTGGTACGCACTCCCCAGCGTGCCCCCTGCTGCTCCCTCAGTGGCTGAGATCCAGGTGAGCCCAGAAGGCCCCATCCTGGAGAACCAGACAGTGAGGCTGACCTGCAAGACGCCCAGTGGGGCGGCCAGTGAGATCCACTACAGCTGGTACAAGAACCAGCTTCTGCTGGAGGAGGCCCGCGCCAGCACCCTCCAGCTGCACCGGGCCACCAGGGCCGACACCGGCTTCTACTTTTGCGAGGTGCGGAACGCCCACGGCAGTGAGCGCTCAGGCCCCGTCAGTGTGGTGGTCAACCGTAAGTGGCCAGGGTGGGGTGGCGCTGGGCACTGCCAGAGCCCAGGGAATGGCAGAGGCTGGGCCTAAGGGTGGGGTCCGTGCATAAGGTTGGGGTACTTGGTGCAGGAGCTGCGAAGCCACTTCACCAGGACACGGGCTCTGTAGTCCAATGGCTTTGAGCTTACTTCCTAGCTCTGTACACCTGCACAAGCCTTTCACGGCCCTGGGCCTCAGTTTCCTCCTATTTAAAAAAAAAAGCAAAAAAAAATTAATTTTGAAATGACAAAACTTCCAAAAAGTTGCAAGAATAGTACAAAGAATTATACCTTTCATTCAGATTCCCCATTTGTTAACATTTTGGCATATTTGCTTTATCCTTCTTTCTTTATCTACATATATATGTACATACAACACACATTTACCCTCTCTACATAAACACAAACAGACCCATAGACACATTGTTAGCTGTTGTTAGTTGACCTGGAGTCCACTCCGACTCACGGCGACCCCATGTATAACAGAATGCAACGTTGCCCAGTCCTGCGCCATCTTCGTGAGCATTGCTATGTTTGAGTCCATTGTTTCTGTCACTGTGTAGTGCCTTCTAACATAGGGGATCATTTTCCAGGACTATATCAGATAATATTCTGTTGTGATCCATAAGGTTTTCATTGGCTGATTTTCAGAAGTAGATCACCAGGCCTTTCTCTCTAGTCTTAGTCTGGAAGCTCTGCTGAAACCAGTTCACCATGGGTAACGCCTGCTGGTATTTGAAATACCTGCGGTATGACGTCATAGCAACATGCAAGCCTCCACAGTAGGGCAAATTGACATATGGGTGGTACATTTATATACATATATATATTCTCTATCTATCTGCACATTTCTCTTCCTGAGAACAAGTTGCAGATAGGATGCTCCTCTATCCCTAATTTCCTTAGCATATATTTCCTAAGGTCATTCTCTTACATAACTACAATCAGGAAATTTAACATTGATAAGAGACTATTATCTAATCTACAGTTCATATTTAAAGTCTGTCAATTTTCCCAATAATGTCCTTCAGAGCATTTTTTTTTTTCTGGTCCAGGATCCCATCCAGAATCGTAGTTTACATTCAGTTGTCATCTTTCTTTATTCTCCTTTAACTGCGACAGTCCCTAAGTCTCTCCTTGTCTTTCTTGACACTGAAATTTGAAGAGTACAGGACAGTTATTCAGTAGAATGCCCCGCCGTCTGGGTTCGTTGGAATAGAAAAGACTGAGACTATGCACTTTGCAAGGTGCAGACGTGGTGTTGTCTCTGCCTCAATGCAAAGTATCGGGAGACACAATGTTGGTTTGTCCCGTTGTTGATAGTGTTCACTTGGTCACCTGGTTAAAATGCTGTCGGCCAGGTCTCTCTCCTGGTTTTCTCATCTTTAAAGTGGGGCCCCGTACCCACTTGCAGGGTTGCCATAGGACTGACTGGGATGAAAGTGGTTTGTCCAGTGCAGGGTCTGGTACTCGACAGGCACTGGGGAGATGCTGGAGTCGCCCCTACCTCTCTGGGTGTTGTGGGACAAGTAGGGTACAGGGGTCATAGGCTAAAAAGGGGGATCCGGGAGTCCTCTGTCTGAGGGTGACAGGCCTGGCTCTCATCTCCACACAGACCCACCCCTCACCCCGGACCTGACTGCTTTCCTGGAGACGCAGGTGGGGCTCATGGGCATCCTCCACTGCTCCGTGGTCAGTGAGCCCCCGGCCATCCTGGTACTGTCACATGGGAGCCTCATCCTGGCCTCCACCTCCGGGGAGGGTGACCACAGCCCACGCTTCCGTGTCTTCTCTGCTCCCAACTCCCTACACCTGGAGATTCGAGACCTGGAGCCAACCGACAGCGGGACGTACAAGTGCTCGGCCACCAACTCCTTTGGAAATGCGTCCTCCACCCTGGACTTTTATGCCAACGGTAAGAGGCACGGGAGCACTACCTGAGGGAGCCTGAGGAGGGCTGCTCTGGCCTCTTCCTTCTGGGAGTCCAGAGGGCTCAACGGAGGGGCTGAACCAGCTGACTGCTAAAAACCACATCAAAGCCTTGGGCTACACTGTCATCCCAACCTCAGAGGTTCCTGGAAGTCAAGGCAAAAAGAGAAACAGGACAGGTTGCATTAGTCCTCTTGCACGCTCTGAACTTGGAGAGCCCTTCATGTGCATTCATTTGCTTTTTTATTTATTAAACTTTGGGGCAGGCTCTGTGCTAGGAGTCAGATGCGGAAGGCAAAGTGGAGAATTAGGGTCTTGGCACATATGCTGCCCTTTCCTCCCTCCAAGGCCATGGCGGCCACAGCTAATCCATCAAGCCAGGTTTTTAATTTTTTTTTTATTGTGGTAAAATATATATAACATAAATTTGGCATTTTAACCATTGTTAAGTGTACAGTTCAGTGGCATTAATGACGTTCACAAGGTTGTGCAACCATTACCACTATTTGTTCCCACACATTGTTCACCACCCCAAACAGAAACTCTGTACCCATTACCAAAAACCCAGTGCCGTCAAATCAAGCGCCATCAAATCGATTCCGACTCATAGCAACCCCACAGGACAGAGTAGAACTGCCCCCACAGGGTTTCCAAGGAGGGGCTGGTGGATTCAAGCTGCCGACATTTTGGTTAGCAGCCAAGCTCTTAACCGCTGGGCCACCAGCGCTCCCCTGTACCCATTAAGCAATAGTAATACCCCCTTCCCTGCTATCCTCAACCCCTGTTAACTTCAAATCTACTTTCTGTCTCTATGCATTTGCCTATTCTAGATGTTTCATATAAGTGAGATCATACGGTATTTGTCCGTGTGTGTCTGGCTTATTTCACTCAGCATAAAGTTGTCCAGGTTTATGCTTGTTACATCAGAACTTCGTATCTTTTTTATGGCTGAAAAATATTTCATTGTATGGATTTACCACCTTTTGTTTCTCCATTCGTCTGTTGATGGACACTTGGGTTGTTTCCACCTTTTGGCTATTGTGAATAGTGCTGCAGTGAACACTGGTTTACAAGTCCGTGTTCGAGTCTCTGCTTTCAGAGTATATTTGGGTATATACCCAGGAGTGGAATTGCTGGGTCATATGGTGGTTCTATGTTTAACTTTTCTGAGGAACTGCCAAACTGTTTTCCATAGCAGCTGCACCATTTTACAATCCCACGAGCAATGGACGAGGGTCCTAATTTCTTCATGTCCTTAAGGCAGGTTTTTGACATAAGCATGGGCTCTGGTTCAGAATTCTCAACTGCGCTGCAGCCAGCTACTACCAATAGACCTGACTGGCATTCCAGGCCAAACCCTCCTGACCGACTAGGGAGACACAGAGCTGACATACCTACAGTCACGTGGGGAGAAGAGAAACTGGGAGACTTCCTGCAGCTGGTGTCAGGGCTCTACAGACGTGCTGAGCCGAGGGGTGGGCCCCTCACAGCCTCCCCAGCCTCTCTTCCTCCCTCTCCCATCAGCTGCCCGCCTCCTCATCAGCCCAGCATCGGGGGTGGTGGAAGGGCAGGTGGTGACGCTGACCTGCAAGAGTGGCCTGAACCCCACGCCTGAAACCCGCTTCTTCTGGTACCGGAACGGAGCCCTGCTTCTCGAGGGGCCCAGCAGCAGCCTCGTGCTCCCTGCAGTCTCCAGCACGGACGCCGGCTCATACCACTGCCGGGCCCAGGACAGCCAAAGCGCCAGCGGCCCCTCCTCGCTTGCCGTCCTCACTGTGCTCTGTGAGAAGCCCTCCCCACGCTCACAGCCTGCCGTGGGGAGGATCAGCCCCCTGGGACTCACAAGCCGCTGCCCCCTCCAGGCCCTCCTGACCCTGTCCTGCCCTGGGGTCTAGACTGGGAGGGTGGCCACAGGCCTGAGCACTACTGACCTCTCCACTTAGGGTTGAAGTTTGGGGAACAGGCTGAGTGGGGCTTCGTCTACCTCCCCACAGCTCACCCTCCAATCCCAGCCCCTTTCAGGTCCCCTGCCTCTAGCCTCAAACCCACCATGGGAACGATATCCAAGCTTTACCCTCCTTGGGTGTGTCCTGGGACACAAACTCCTATATATGCGCACACGCCCCGTAGGCTATGTCCTCATGGGCTCCCACAGACACCAAGGCAGAACTCTTCACGCAGGGATAGGCCAATCCTTCTGGGCATCCTGTCAAGGGTGGATGCTCCATATTAGCCCAAGGGGCTAACTAATGTCAGGGCACACTTCAACCCAGAGAGCCTCCCCTGAAATGTGCGGAGTGACAGAGGGGACTATCAGGGAAAAGCAGCTGGCTCTCCAGGGGTTCCCTGGTGTCTGAGTGGGATCACCTGGAGGCTCTGGCTGCTGGCTGTCTTTTGACCATCCGTCTCTGGAAGCCTCTAGAAAGAGGCATCATCTGAGTATGATGGAAGCTAGCTTGGAGATCAGAGCTAGGGGGCAGGAAAGATCTTAGGGGAAGGCTCCATGGTAAGGGATGTGGTGCAGGGAGAGAGCTGAGAGCAAGACTCCCAGGAATTGCTATGTGGGCACCTGGCTCAGTCACAGATGGGACTTCTGCCAGGGGGCTGCTAGTCCATACAATACCTTTGTCCCAATCAGAAAATGGCGCTCCTTCCTCTGGGAAGACTCAGTCCCACACATAGATTAGCATGAGGAGCATGGGCTGGATTTCACTCATCCTTGTCTGGCTGCCCGTGTGCAATGCACAGCCTGTACAACTGTCTATGGCTGCTCTGGGCACATGCTTTTGTCCAGTGTGTTCTGGGAGCCTAGCCATCCTGGATGGACCTGGGGGGCCGGCCCCCTGGCAGCAGTGTGGAATGAGCACCTGTGCTCTTCGCCCCTGCAGATGCCCCACGCCAGCCCACGCTCACTGCCCGCCTGGACCCTGATGCCGCTGGAGCCGGTGCCAGACGGCGAGGCCTCCTCTTGTGCCGTGTGGACAGCGACCCTCCGGCCCAGCTTCGGCTGCTCCACGGGGACCACTTTGTGGCCTCTTCCCTGCCATCAACTGGGGGCTGGTCCCAGCACATACAGGTCACTAGAGCCCCCAACTTGCTGCGTGTGGAGATTCACGACCCAGTGCTGGAGGACGAGGGCGAGTACTTGTGCGAGGCCAGCAATGCCATGGGCAACGCCTCAGCCTCGGCCACCTTCAACGCCCGGGGTGAGTCAGGCAAAGAACGGGTATCTGGGTGACAGTGGTCTGTGCCCCGGGGTTGGTGCTCCCGAGCCTGCTGCTCTGCAGCCCTCACTCCAAGGCGGGTCAGAGTGGTGGACGCCACTTCTGCTCAGCAGTGGAGGAGGCAAAGCTGCCCACAGTGACGAGTGGGAGCCCCCGGAACCTCACTGCCTCCCTCCACACTGGGGGAGACAAGAGCTGCTGGGCCCCTGCTCAGAGCCTGGGGTGGTGAGGCTGCACTCTGTAGGGCCGTCTCGTCCTCTTTCCCCTTTACTGGCCCCTCTGTCTGACCAGTGTCCCCCACGCTCCCCAGGGCCCGCTTCTTGGAGGCTCCCTGGTCTCAGGGAGTTCTGGCCACCTGAGGGTCACACTGCCTATTAGAGGAAACTTCAGCTCCCCTCTGAGCTCGTCTGCTTTCCTCCTCACCCCATGGGTTTCTCTGAGGGTCTCCTCTCTACCCCCTCCAGGCTGGAAGGCTGGGTCTCTGGGTCCTGGCCCTGCCTCAAGTGAGATTGTGTTGTTGCTCTCCAGCCACTGTCCTGGTCATTGAGCCATCGGACACGCTGCGGGAAGGCACGGCAGCCAACCTGACTTGCAACGTGAGCCGTGAAGCCGCCGGCAGCCCTGCCAACTTCTCCTGGTTCCGGGATGGGGTGCTGTGGACCCAGGGCCCCCTGGAGACGGTGACCCTGTTGCCTGTGGCCCGGACCGACGCTGCCCTCTATGCCTGCCACATCCTCACCGGGGCTGAGACCCAGCTCTCTGCCCCCGTGGTCCTGAGTGTGCTCTGTGGGTGACGGGCAAGGGCAGAGTTGGGGACTCGGAGGGTTCAGGGTGTGGTCTAGGGGAGAGGAACAGGGGTGGGGTTGGGATAAGTGTAGGCCTGGACTGTGTATGTGTGTGGAGCAGAAGTAGGACATTGTGTGACAGTTGGATCATGGTGAGTAGGGCTGGGGGTGGCCTGAGATCCCCATGTCCCCGCAGATCCTCCAGACCCTCCAGAGCTGTCAGCCCTCCTGGAAGTGGGCCAGGGCCATGTGGCTGTGTTCGTCTGCAAAGTAGACAGCCGCCCTCCAGCCCAGCTGGCCCTATTCCATGGGGAGCACCTCCTGGCCACTAGCCCAGGGCCCCAGCTGCCATCCCGTGGCCGGCTCCAGGCCAAGTCCACAGCCAACTCCCTGCAGCTGGAGGTCCGAGAACTGAGCCTTGGAGACTCTGGCAGCTACCGCTGTGAGGCCACAAATGTTTTTGGATCAGCCAACACCTCCCTCTTCTTCCAGGTCCGAGGTGAGTGCCAGTCCTCTGAAGATGTGACAGACCCTGCTGCTTTGAGGGCCACTCTCGCTAGGCTTTGAGCTGGGTAGTGTGGGTTTTGTGCAGAAATATGAACCCTTTTCAGCCCAGGTCTGGGAACACTTTCCAGCCAGCCAGCAGGACACCTCCCATTGTCTCCAGCTACGTGTTTTTGCCTGTAATAACTGCAGTAGCCACTAGGAGGCAGTGGCAGTTGCACCAGGTAGCTTGATTAGCTGGAGTACTTTCTGACAGATGACTTCTTTTTATAATAATATAATTTTGTTACATAATAAAATTCACATACAAAACCACATATATCTGCATATATGTGTGTATACGTATATACACACACACACATATAGAGATATTCTTCTATAACAATCTTCACTAAGCAATCAGCCAGGAAAAATGAAAGATAATACCTATAATGCAAAGACCAAAGAAAAACACATGCTTTCTCACCCATGATAACAGGCAGCATCAAATTTGAACATATGCTTTGGGCCTTGCTCTGTCCTTGGTCCAGTGTATCTTTTCTTATTTATCATACCCATTTCACAGGCAGAGAAAATGCAGGTTACAGAGTTTCAGGAGCTTGCTCATGGTCACATGACTAGCGGGGGGCACTGCTAGCTCTGGACTAACTCAGTTCTGGTCCCAGGCACAGCTTGAGTTCTCCAGGTGTTCCTCCATCTCATCCCCCCTCTCCACACCTCGCCTCAGACTCAGGGAGCTCCTAGGAGCTGGCCTTGCCTGGTCACTGGTTTCTGGTGTCTCATGGCGTGGAGCCTATAGTCAGAGCTGGACCAGAAAGGGCTGGAGAGAACCCTAGATCACAAAGCTGCTCACCTCCTCTTCTAAGCCCTCAGCCACCCATGCTGAGTACCTCTCATGATGAGGACATGCTTGGGTGACAGTGGCCTTTGGCATGAACTAAATCCCTCCCGTGTCAGTGCTTTGTGGGTTGAACCAATATTTGCAGGTGCTATGCCTGGCACTGGGTCACAGATTACATAAGCCTGGCCTCTGGCAGACAAGATATGACTGGCAGAGCAAAACTGTAGCTCAAGGTGGTAGGGGCAAATGCCAGGACAGAACCAGTGGGCCAGGGAGTTGGAGGCTGGAGAGGTAGAGGCATGGAGCTGGGGTAGGGCCCTCAACAGCGGTCTGGTAGGGTCAGGACTGGGGTCATGCAGCTGTCATGTGGACAGACACACAGTCCCAGCCTGTGGGACGGTAGGGCAGAGAGCCTCACCTGTTCTCAGTTTCTCCCTGCAGGAGCCTGGGTTCAGGTGTCACCATCGCCTGAGCTCCAGGAGGGCCAGGAGGTGGTTCTGAGCTGCCAGGTACCCACGGGGGTCCCAGACAGGACCTCATACCGCTGGTACTGGAACGGCCAGCTTCTCCAGGAGCCGACCTCGGCCACACTCCACTTTCCAGCCATTACTTCAAGCCAAGCTGGAGCCTACCACTGCCAAGCCCAGGCCCTGGGCTCGACCACTGCAAGCCTGGCTGTCCCCGTCAGCCTCCACGTGTCCTGTGAGCTTTCACCCCGTCCACGTGAGGGTGGGGATGTCCCTGGTCTGCGGCTCTGCCTCCATGAGACAGCCCGGGATGAGGGACCACCTGGCGAGGTCCTGACCGCTCCCCACTCTGTGTAGATGCACCCCACCAGGCCATGCTCACTATCCTGATGGACACAGGCCCTGGGCGACTGGGCCTCCTCTTGTGCCGTGTGGACAGCGACCCGCCAGCACAGCTGCGGCTGCTCCATGGGGACCGCCTCGTGGCCTCCACTCTGCAGGGTTTGGGGGACTCTGCAGGCAGCTCTCCCCAGCTGCAGGTGGTTGTGGCTCCCAACACCTTGCGCCTGGAGATTCACGGTGCTGTGTTGGAGGATGAGGGTGTCTACACCTGTGAGGCTACCAATGCCCTGGGCCAGACTTCGGCCTCGGCCACCTTTGATGCCCAGGGTCAGTGTGGGGGTATGGGCGTGTGTGGGTGGCTCTTTTAAGCGGGAAGAGGAGGTGGAAGAAAGTGCCAGAAAACTGGGGTGCAGGCAGAACACAGACAGTCCCTGCTCCCCACCTTCCTCAAGGCAGCAGTTTTGAGACTCGTGTTTCATGGAATAGCCTTTTTAAAAAACAGAATTCTACACGGCTGCCCAGGGGATAAAACCAATCAGAGAGGGGGTGCTCCAGGGGAAATGGCAAGGGAGGCCTATGCCCTCCCCATCTACCCCCCACCAGGGCCAGGGTGGGGTACATGCTAGGGACCTGCTGAGAGGTGATGAAGGGTCATCTCCCAAGCCCCGTTGCAGGCGGGCCCCTGAGGGTCACAGAAGCCAGGCGCTTAGCTAGCAGTAGGGGCCGCTTTCACTCCTGGGGACAGGTGGCTGCTCTGCACAGCCTTGGGCTCTGATGGGCATCCCCATGCCCTCCCTCCCTCTCCAGCCGTGAGCGTGCAGGTGTGGCCTGAGGCCACAGTGCACGAGGGGCAGCCAGTGAACCTGACCTGCCTGGTATGGACCCACCTGGCCCACCTCACCTACACATGGTACCAGGACGGGCAGCAGCGCCAGGGTGCCCACTCTATCTTCCTGCCCAATGTCACGGTCACGGATGCTGCCTCCTACCGCTGTGGCGTGGGGACCCCTGGCCAAGCACCCCGCCTCTCCAGACCTGTCCCACTGGACGTCCTCTGTGAGTCTTTTGGATACAGGGTGGGGCTGGGAGGAATGACTTGGCACCCTCTCAGCAGCCCACAGGAATCAGGTATAGCCAAAGCCCCACAAGTGCCCAGGCTGGGAACTCAGTGCCCTGCCCAGTCAAGGGAGCACTGGACAAGGAACATGAGAGTTAGGGGACCATGGGGATAGATTCCTCCTGGGCTTGGATGCCGCCTGCAGACTGGCCTCTTCACAGTTCCTTCTGTGCCTCTTGTGCCCCTGCAGACGCGCCCCGTGGCCTGCGCCTGACCTACCTCCTGGAAAGCCGTGGTGAACGGCTGGCCCTGCTACTGTGCACTGTGGACAGTCGTCCGCCTGCCCAGCTGGCCCTCAGCCACACCGGCCGCCTCCTGGCCTCCTCAACCACAGAGTCCATCCCCAACACCCTGCGCCTGGAGCTGTGGGACCCCCGGCCCAGGGATGAGGGTCTCTACAGCTGCTTTGCCCACAGCCCTCTGGGCCAGGCCAACACGTCCCTGGAGCTGCGGCTGGAGGGTGAGGCCGGCCCAGGCCAAGCCTGCCAGGGTGCGGACCATCTGTGGCATCTGCCTAGGCATGGGTGACCCTGGTCTCCTTGGTAACAGGAGTGCGGGTGACCCTGGCTCCGTCGGCCGCCGTGCCTGAGGGGGCCCCCGTGACGGTGACCTGTGAGGACCCCACCGCCCACCCACCCACCCTTTATGCTTGGTACCACAACGGCCGCTGGCTACAGGAGGGACCACTTGCCTCCCTCTTGTTTCCCGTGGCTACTCGGGCTCACGCGGGCGCCTACTCCTGCCAGGCCCAGGATGTCCAGGGCACACGCAGCTCCCGGCCTGCTGCCCTGCAAGTCCTGTGTGAGCAGGGGACCCATGGTGGGGGACGCCCAGGGTGGGGTGGGTACAGGGTGCTTTCCGGCCCTGGTGGGGGGAGCACAGAACTGCAGTGGACCTGGGAGGGGGCACTGGGGAAAGAAGGACACAGGTGATGAGAAGAGACCCGGGGCCCCTGCAGGATGGGGAAGGTGGACCCTGCTCGGAAGAACCAGCTCACAGCGCCCCTGCAAAGTTGTCACCTCTAGGAGGTGACCACTGGTCCAGAGGCTTCAGGATGTGGGCTGTGGGCAGGGCTCAGTTATGCAGCCCAAGGGTGTCCAGGAAGACCCCCAACTGTGCCCCACCCTCCCCCAGATGCCCCTCGCGACGCCGTCCTGTCCTTCTTCCGGGACTCTCGGACCAGCCCTGCCACCGTGGTGCAGTGCACTGTGGACAGCGAGCCGCCTGCCGAGCTGACCCTGTCCCGTGATGGCCAGGTGCTGGCCACCAGCCAGGGAGCCCATGGCTCAGCATCAGGGACAGGCCCCATCCAGGTGGCCCGCAATGCCCTGAGGTTGCAGGTGCAAAAGGTGCCAGCAGGAGACATGGACACCTATGTCTGCACGGCCAGCAATTCACTGGGCTCAGTCCGCACCACTGGGCAGCTGCAGGCCGAAGGTGAGCAGGTCGGGGGGAGGGGCCCAGGCATGTGGGCTTATCGTGTGGGGTCACATGCTGTGGGGCTCATGTGCTGTGGGGTTGGAGTCCACAGTAGGGCTGGGGCTCCCACCCAAGCGATAAGATAGAGCCCTGCCTCAAGATGTCTAATCTGACAAAGGATGCCCACCTCCCACTGGAGGGATCTGCCTAGTCTGAGGGAGAAGATACAGGTTTGTCCTTCCAGCAATGACCAAGGGGAGCTTGGGGCAGGGGGGCATGACTCTGCCCTCATAGAGCCCCACCTGGGAGTACGGGCCCAGACCTACCCTGGGGAAGCCTGGGGTGGGAGAGAGACAGCCCACCCTCAGGGAACCCTGTCTGAAGGAGGAGGTGCAGTCCCATCCTTGGTGAGGGCAAGGTGCAGCCTCATCTGCCAGAAAGCCTAGTGTGATGAAGGGGGCACAGGCTTGCCCTGGGGCACCCAGCTCAAGGATGAGAGCCACCCCTGTTCTCCTCCAGGGGAGACACAGTCCCACCTTGGAGGGCCTAGATCCCAGTCAGATTCAGACCTTCCCAAGATGGCTTCCCTCTCAAGAGCCCAGATTGACCCAGAGGCCCAGCTCCACAGGTCTGCAGACTCCCAGCCACCTCCCGTCTTGGCCTGCAGGTGTGTGTGTGGTGGCGGAGCCAGGCCTGGACCTGCCTGAGGGTGCAGCGATGAACCTGAGCTGCTTCCTCCCAGATGGTGGCGGGCCCCCAGGCAACACCACCTTTGCTTGGTTCTGGAATGGCCGACGACTACCTGCGGAGCCCGTGCCCATTCTCTCCTTCACCTCTGTGGCCCGTGCCCAAGCTGGGATGTACCACTGCCAGGCAGAGCTCCCTTCTGGGACCGTCGCCTCTGCTCCAGTCATGCTCCATGTGCTCTGTGAGTGTGACCCCTGCCTCAGTCTCCCTGTCTCTCATATACCCACCTCAGATCCTCCTCCTTTTCCATCTGCAAAGAGCAAGGACTTCTCAGTTGTGCAGGCCTGGGTTGGCATCCTGACTCTGCCACTGACTGGTGTGTGATCTGGTGCATCTGTGCCTCAGTTTCCTCGTCTATAAAATAGGGAATACATCAATCCCCTTATCTTGTGAAGAATACAGAAGATAAAGCACACAGAATGCCTAACACACAATAGGCCCTCATCAGCCTCGGCTTCCTACTCCATTCTTCACCGGGACCCCATACTGTATCAGTCAGCTATTGCTATGTAACAAATCACCCCAAAACACAGCACTTAAAACAGTAGCCATTTTATTCTCTCACAATTCTGAAGGTGAGAAATTGGCTGGGCTCCTCTGGGCAGCTCTTCTGCTAATCCCACCTCATGTGGCTGCAGTAGTCCATTGGCTCACCCAAGGCTGGATGGTCTAAGATGGCCTCACCCTCAAGGCTGGCAGTTGGGGCTGTCTGTTAGTTGGATTGTTACATGTCTCCAGCAGGCTAGCCTGGGCTTCCTACATGGTCATGTTCCAAGAAGGAGCTAGCAGAAGCTGCAAGACCTCTTGAGGTCTAGCTCTGACGTCACACGTCACTTCTTCTGCTTCTATTGATCAAAGGGAATCACAGATTCAAGGGGTGGGGAAAAGGGCTCTCCCTCTTAATGGGAGGAGCAGCAAAGTCACTTTGCATGTGGCAAACGTCCAGGGAGAGGAGGAATTTGTGGTCATTTATTGCAATCACTACTCTCCTTCTCTTCCAACAGACCCTCCTGAGACACCCACCATGACAGTCTTTGTAGAGCCTGAGAGTGGCCTCCAGGGTATCCTGGACTGCCGAGTGGACAGCGAGCCACCTGCCAGCCTGACCCTCCACCTTGGCCGTCGGTTGGTGGCATCCAGCCAGGCCCGGGGTGCTCCTGCCGAGCCACACATCCATGTCTCGGCTTCCCCCAATTCCCTGCGGGTGGACATGGAGGAGCTGAGGCCCAGTGACCAGGGGGAATACGTGTGCTCTGCCTCCAATGCCCTGGGTTCTGCCTCGGCCTCCACCTACTTTGGGGCTAGAGGTGAGTGTGGGGCCACTCTGCACAAAAGCCCGGCTTGTAGGCCCAAAGTCTTTCTTCTGAGGTCTTCCTTAAAGCCCTTCTGTGGCAATACAGCTTGTCTGTCTAGACGAGACTGGTTGCTTGGACCTCCCTTGTGCGGGGAGCTTCATTGATGATGAACATGAACATCATCTATAAGAGTTAGAGTAGAAGGTCTCATCTTGGGGGATAGGGTGTGGGAAGGGCCACCAGAGGCCTGGATCCACAGCTGCCCCTAAGCTCCATTCTGTTTTCCAGCCTTGCACCACCTCTATCTGTTCCAGCAGCTGCTCTGGGTCCTGGGGAGTCTGGCAGGCGTCCTGTTCCTGCTGTTGGTCTTGGGCGCCTGCTATGTCCAGAGGTGGGTCTGGAGCTGGGGAGGTAGATGGGACCCCCCCTTCTTCTTTTCCCCTGAACACGTCCCCAGGTCCTCCCTCCTTCCAAATTCATAGGCTCCATAACTTCCTAGCCTGCCCTACCTCCAAATTTTGGGAATCCCATCTAGAATTGCCCCTAAATCCATCTTGCTGTAGTTTTCTTCTTTCCTTCTCTTTATCCAGTCTGTGCTGAAGAAAGGGCTGGGGAGGAAAAAAGATAAGGTGTCCCCGTTTTCATGCAGCTCCCCACTGCTGTGTACAGCAGGCAGTCCAGGGCAAGCCTGTGGGGAAGGAAGGAAGAGGGGGCAGGCAGGAGAGGCTGGAAGAGGCTCTCTAAGTCCACTCTTGCTCTCCACAGAAGGAGGCTCTTTCATAAGCAGAGATCAAGCCAGAATTCGGTGGAGATGGCTCTTCAGAAGGAGACCACCACTCAGGTATCCATTCAACATACACGTGCACATGCACAGGCCAACACTCGGTGAACTCACAGTGCCAGGCTGGCATCTGAAGGCAGCTCTCATTTGTGGAATGGAGCCTGGGGTTGCAGGAGATCGGGGAAAGAGTATAGGGAGCCAGGTCCCTGAGGAGGCTGGGGAGCCATATTCTGATTGGGGCAGAGAGCAGCCAAGTGTTTGCCAGGTAGCTGGATTGGCTGGGTGGCTGCCTGGGGCAGACTTTCTGGACTTAGCAGCATCACCTCCACTTCCGAGACACATTTTCTGATCCCTCCACCTCTTTTTTGAGGTCTCTTTCCCCCACTCCTGAGCCTGCTGATCACCTGGGCTCAGGCGATGTGTATCCTTCTGTGGATAATCCATTTGGTGGCCAGGGCTCCAAGCCTTATGCCAGCCATCCACACACTCTCACCAATCCCCCTGGGCTGGGCCCTAAGGTTGGTGGAGGGCTACCCTTGTGCAGAGTTAGGGGTCAGGCAATGACTGTACCCAGGGTCCTATAGTGACCAGGGTTTTCTCTGTGGAAAGCTCATTGATCCTGATGCAGCTACATCTGGGACCTCGTACTGTGCTCCGACCCTGAGCTGACCAGTAGCACTGCCTGCCATCAGGAGAAGGACGCCGGAATCTGTGATGACTTGGGCCCTGGGAGCTAGGCAGGGCCTGGTCTCACCTATCTCAGTGAAAGCAGCTCTGGGACATCTGACTCCTATGACCTGGCTCCAAGCCTCTCGCCCCCAAGAAAAATGGGTGGTGAGAGGTGGGGTGAACCCCAATCTATCCAGGAGGGTGTTAACCCTGGGAACTCTGAATAGAAATGAATTAATCGTGTTGTCCATTTCTCCTCTCTCTTCCTTTTTTCTCCGAATTTCATCTCTCCTCTCCATTTCTTCTCCAACGCACTGACCCTTCACCTCTTTCTCTGTAAAGCCCATTCAGGAACTTTTGGATGGATTAGAGGAGGAGCCTTCTGTGTCCTCGCGGGTTGGCCAACAGACTCTGTATTAGAATAGAAGTTAGGCTGCTCTAACAAGAGACCAAGTACAGTGACTTCAACGTGATAGAATTTTATTTTCCTCCCCCATATTAGTCTGGGTATGTTATGATGGTTCAAAGTTTTGGGGCTCAGGATCGTTCTATCTTATTTTTCTCTATGCCTAAAGTATTGTCTTTGATTATGAAGGTTCATGATGGTCCTACTGTATCTGTCCACCTTCCCACCAGTGAGAAGGAAGAAGAGTGGAAGTAGAGCATGCACATTTCCTTTGTGGGCGCAACCCAGAACTTGCTCATTGTTTCCATTCACTTCCCATTGGCTGGAGTTTAGTCACATGGTCACTTCAAGCTGCAAGGGAAGGTGGGAAATCAGTCTTTATTCTGAGCCCAGAGTTCATTTGGAAATTCTGTTTCCAAAGGACTCCCAATTGTAGAATCACCCTTGGGGTTGACATTGATGAGAATGCCACCAGCAGGCTACACTCTGTTTCAGTGCCCATCTGCTGGCACCCTCCAGCCATTCTTGTCAGTCATGGGCTTCCTGGAGGAGGTAGTCCCTTTCACACAATAAGACTGAAGAAATAAAGAAGGCTTGGTGGCCCGTAGAAAGAGGGCAAGAAGTCCTGGTGGTGCAGTGGTTAAGCGCTTGACTGCTAACTGAAAGGTTGGCGGTTTGAACCCACCAGCTGCTCCACGGGAGAAAGAGACGGCCATTTGCTTCCATAAAGATCACAGCCTTGGAAACCCTATGGGGAAGTTCTACTCTGTCCTATAGGGTCGCTATGAGTTTGAATCCACTACATGGCAATAGGTTTGGGAGGGAGAGGGCATGACAGGCAGGAGGGTGCCTGCTCAGGAGACCTGGGTTCAATTCCCAGCCCATGCACCTCATTCACAGCCACCATCCATCTGTCCCTGGAGGCTTTTGTGTTGCTATGCCTTAGTTTTCAGCAGAGCTTCTGGACTAAGAAAGACTAGGAAGAAAGATCTGGCAATCAATGAAAACTCCATGGATCACAACAGTCCACAACAATCCACAACTAATCATGGGGATGGCACAGGACTGGACAGTGTTTCATTCCATTGTGCATGGCATTGCCATGCATTGGGGACCGACTTTCAACAGCTAAGAACAATGACCCCCCCCCAGGGGCTGGGCCCTTCCCTGCCTTATAGACTCTTTCAAGCCTGGGAAGCAGACGCACATGTCATTAGCAGCCTTATTTCTGGTCCAGGTGAATCCCTCTCCATGATCAAGTGAATTCCTGGGCTTTTGCTGGAGGCTGGCGGGCGAGGGGCTGTTAAAGGGAATGAGGGTTAGCAAGACAGAATAAAGTGCTCCCAGGAAATGAGGGACAGAGGGGAGCCAGTCCTCAGGTGGGCTAGTGACTGCCTATCATAGACTGGGGGGATGGTGGGAGGGTCAATGAGCTGCCGGTCTGGGATTTGGGTTGAGAAATGGATATGGGTTGGGAAAGCAGTGGGAGGCTGGCGTAGGAGCTAACAGACTGGGAAGAAATTGGAAGCCAGGTGAATTTCAAGTAGCCAAGGCTGGGCCTGCCCTCATTCTAGGTCCCATTCCTTTTCATGCCTGATGGCTGGACTTTTCCTGGGAGCCTGTCCAGCATGTCCTTCTAATAAACTTCCATCCTGTGACATACCTTGAGTGAGTCTCTTTCTTGCAGCGCAAACCACTGCTCTAGAACACAGAGGATTGAAATGGTGGTAAGGTTTGTTCTGGGAGACTTTGCAGGAGGTAGCAGGCATTGCAAAGTACATGACATTTTTCACAAACTACCTTATGCTCAAGCGATCTGTGTCCCTTCCTGCTCCT